GTGCATCGGTTGGCAGGCGGTAAGCAGTTGCATCGTGCATTGTCTGCTTTGTATATTCTATTATTGTTGTTGTTATTATTACTACTGTTGTACTTTGTTTTATTTCAATTATTAAACTGTTTTTATCTCAATCCACGAGTTTTCGCACTTTTGCCCTCCCAATTCTCTCCCCCATCCTACCAGAGGTGGGGGGGTGAGTGAGTGGCTGCGTGGTGTTTAGTTGCTGGCTAGGGTTAAACCACAACACTGAGATGAAGACAGCTTTTCAACCTTGTTTCAAGCTGCAAAGCACCATCTCAAATCATGCTTAATCCCAACTGAAGGTGGCTGCCTCAAAGCCACAAGCTCCTGGGTTACAATTACGTGTTATGCTGTGGAGCACATGGTGGGTTCCTGTGCCCATGAGGCCAACAGAGCTCCAGTCTCAGCTTTGGAAGAGCTGAATGAGGATGGAGATGACCTGGTAGCAGCCAGGTGGCTGATGCAAGTACTGTGCTGCTGCTCAGTAACTTCAGCACCTGCCCTGGCTGAACCGGGCGTGCTTTGTGTTCTGTGTCTGTGGGATGCATTCCCCTGGGGTCAAGCAAACCAAAATGTTCAGTCACTTCCTCATCCCCTCCACACCTCCCACAGCCTTGGAAATAAGGCTGTCCTTTCTTTCTTATGCTGCTCTGAATGCCGAAATCTGGGGAGAAGAGTGACAAGGCTGGGAGAGGAGGATGGCTGATCAAGACCCACAGCTCACAGGGAACTTGAGTCCAGGTCTGATTTTCACCATGTTCCCCAGCACAAGGACTGGGAGCAGATGGAGCTGGAAGGAGGCTGGTTTAAAACTGGTGAGAGCAATTCCACACCATGCAGCAGGGGCACCCCCAGGGCTAGTGGCTGGCAGGTCTGTGAACAGATCCTGCAGGCAGCAGGCAGCAGGCAGGGCTGTCCCATCTGTGTCGTGGTCGTAGGTGCCTGGAGGGCATGAGGGGATGGGACCATGGCAAGGCCAATGTGCATGCCAAGCAACCTAGCCACCATCGGGCAGGGATGGGCCAGCTGGACCCCTGTCTTGTTCTCCCACCAGCCCTAGCAGGCTGCACTTGCCAAGGCTTCCCCACCACCCTGCAGAGGTAGAACATGAAAGTAAGTTAAACTGAACTGGCTTCCTCACCATACATGTGTTCATACATGGGAAAAACAAATTTGCAATTTGCAGATGTGTCCAGCTGTGGCAGTGCTGTCGCTACAAGGCTGGGCGCAGGACAAGTCTCTGGTAGAATTCCAGCAAGGTAATGTGACTATGCTTGTTTAACACACTTTGCTGTTCATTTCAAAATGCTACAGTTGTATACTTTAAATCCTTGCCTTTTATTCTGAAAATCCCAGTTGGGTGTTTTCCTTTGCTGTGTAGTGACCTTTTCAGAACTGCTCCCCTAGTGCTAGCTGCACAGGAGGATGGGAAAATTGCTGGTCTAGACCATGTAGCTGCGCCTGTGGCTCCCCACCACAGAAGACTCCCCAGGGCCCCCAGAGGACTCAGTTCCCATCTGAGGAAGAGCAGGCCACTGACCTGGGCTTGCTTGCAGCAGACTGGGAAGGACTACTGCAGCTGCAGGGGACTCCAACGAAAGCTGCCCCTTTCAAGCAAGCTCCCAGAGGAAGGGGGGTAACACTGGGAAAGGCACTCACTCACTCCTTATTCTTGGGAAGAAAACTTTGGAAGCCCACAGCCAAGCCCCCTGCTGAAGAAAAGTGAGGAACGAGCCGCCCCTGTCCTCAAGAGCACAGCTGGATGCTCCGTGCAGGAGCCTGCTGCAGACAGCTTATAGGCCCCCTACAAAACTGGAAAATGTCCTTCTTGACCCTTTCCACCCTTGCAGAAGGAAGGTGCTTGGGGACCACGCTCAATATGCACACATTCAAAGCAGGATTTCTGACAAGCTTTAAATGTGTTAAATTCCTCCTGCCACTGCAATGCAATGTCGCAGCCACCTTTTTCTTTTCCTTTAGGAAACAATGTCATCAGGGCACGCTGCCCTCAAACAGGGCATGGTAAGCGGCATGCAGGAGCAATCCAAGGAGCACGCCTCACTGATTGTTTCACCAGCTGGGGCAGAAGCTTGCTGGGGAGGACTGGCAGGGACAGATGGGTTCCAACCCCCATTTATAGAAGTGGAACAGTCACTGCAGGAGAGACGGAGCCCCCAAAGACCCTGAAATGTGCTCATCCAGGCCTCTCCTGGCAGCTAAAGTCTTGGTGCCCGCTCAGGTTTTCCTTTGCACTAACATGTGTCATTGCATGTCTGGGAAAAAACAAACTGGGGAGGGGAGCTGAGGCTGGAACCAGTGGGGGGGGTTGCAGAACCTCCCAGTGTGAAGTCCAGTTTGCAGATCACTTCAGAGCCATGCCCAGAATTAGTTACAGATACAAAAGGCAGAGCTAGAGATGCCAGGGGAGCCATGCAAGCCTTTTTCGCTTTTCTTTAGACACCTGAAGAACAGAAACATCATGCTTTGGCACCGATTCAACAAGACCTTTTAACGTGTGCTTGGCAGTGGGCTGGCTGCACCTCCCTTGGCAGCAGTGGGCCTGTGCCGATTGAGCATTACCTCTCCTCCCTTCCTGGCTATAAGCTGGGAGCTCAAGTACTGAACTGCCTGGCCTCTCGCCGTGGGAGCCAGGCTTTGAGGGCTGCAGCAGCTCCCTTACGGTATGATGCATGCTGGCTAGCAAAATACGTGACAGTCCCGACACTGCAAGTGTTTTCTGAATCGGGGCCAAACACCACCCATCGCCTGCTGAGTGCAGTGGCAACATGACCGTGGGACCTGCAGGCTCCGGCAGCGCTGTGCTCTGCCATGTGCCTGGGGGGACCCCATTCTCAAATGAAATGAGCACAACACGTTTACTGCTTCTCTTTAATGGCTACGGTGCAGTTCCCTCACCGCAGGCAGTGCTGGCACGCTGCTGCAGAGGTGAGGAGGCACAGGACTGGTCTGCAAGGCTTCCCCAGGAGAAGGTAAGGCCAAGTCCTGCCGCCCGCAGGAGGGGGGCTCTGGCCCTCACAGCAGCAGCTCATGGGGCATGGGCTCCCCTCGCAGCCCAGCCAGCAGGTTGTTGGCTGCCAGCACCGCCATGGTGCTCCTCGTGGCATACGTGGCACTCCCGACGTGCGGCAGAATCACTGCAGGGGACACAGAGGATTACTTGCCTGTTTCTTACCTTCACTGACCTCTTACAGCCTCTTTCAGGGGTCTTCCCATGGGGGGGCAGTCTGGGTCCTGCACCAGCCACTGCTCTACCAGGAGATGACATCAGACATGAAGCATGAAGCAAAATCATCAGCCACTGAGGACTGGAAAAGACATTTGATAAATGGCTAACTGAGCTGTTTTTTAAGTCTTCCAGGCCAAAGAAAGTCAGCCCAGAGTGGGTCCTCCTTTCTGTGTTCAGGTTTGGTACTCACCTTCCTGCACGGACTCAAGAGTCGGTGGTAGGTATAAAACACTATCCCTGCGGCAGACGAACATGCAGTGAAATTTGCACGCTGTTGCCTGATTGCCACACAGCTTTAGGAGGTTCTCTCACTGACAGGCATGAACCAACATGTATCAGGGCAAGAGCCAGAAGACTGTTGTGAAACATCGTGGTTGACAGGCCCCTAGGTGTGCTGGAAAGGCATGTGTGGAGACGAACGGCCCCTGCCAAACAGAGCTGGCACGCTGTAGCACAGTCAGTGCAGGGATTTTTATCCACCTATATAAAAAGGCTCCTTTTATGCAATGCAGAGGAATTGGCCAAAGCTGCTTTAGTGGTAAATTATTGTAATATTAGTAGCGGAGAGTACTTGCCCAAGGTATGGATAAAAGCCTGCACTGCAGTCTCTGTTTTATAACAGAAAGCATCTACAGGCAATGCAGAAGCCTGAACACCCGACAAGCTGCTGCCCTGGGGGGAGAAGGCTCTCCCAAAGAGGACTGTGGGGCCACATAGGTCCTTTCTGCCCCAGTCGAGAACCAGCCTTGGCTCCTTTTTCGCTGTGAAAGTAATGTCAACATTTCTTCCTCCCCTACTTATGCCGTGTTCCTCCAGCTGCTGAAACTATTTGGCAGTTTTGGGTGAAATCTGTGAATAGTGTCAGAATCATCAAAGCCTCATTTCTGTGAAAGTAAATACATATGTATTTATTTGTGTCTTGCTTGGTGGTGTTGCAGAGCTCTAAGATCTCTGAAGTCCTGCAAATATTTCCAGAAAGTCTCTGCTTCTATCATTTCTCACACTGTCTACTATGGGAACCAAAGCAAACACATAAAAACCAGCTTTTAGCAAAAGCATAATCAAAGCAACAGCTATGAACTCGTATTTCAGAAATGGACACTCGATCATGGGCAGTTCCAAATTTTCATGGATGTCTCTACAGTTTCTTTTCGGAACAGACTTTTCCTACTCCAAAAACCTCCTTCCTGGAGAGAGGACATCCTGCTGCTGCCTGCACAGCCACTCCAGTACTTTGCCTGTGCAAGTGAAGATGCATACACCAGATCTCATGCTTGGGGTGCACCTTGAGCAGCCAAGGCACTCGACGACGCGAGAGGAAGCTGCTCTGGCCCAGCTTATGCCATCAGCTTTGAGCAGGGCCGGCCACCCCAGTGAAGCCAAGCATTCAGGTAGGAACAGGCACCCTGCCGTTGCACCGGCGATGGGGTTGCAGACAATAAGAAACATTTACTTTCTAACTAGCAAGCAGTGCCTTCTCTGTGTCACATTTCTGTCTCTTTTCAGCCTTGAGGATTACAAGCAAGCCTGTCTGGCTTGCATCTGAGTCAGTCCTGTTCAGTAACCGGCCTGACCCACACGCTCCCTGTCTGGAGGAGGAGAGGAAAGCTCCTGGCCCCGCTTTACAGGGGGTGGGCCAAGTTACTCACTGAAGGCCACACAAGGGAAAGCAGTGAACACGCCAGGAGCTGTCCCTAACTCGTCCCAGGCCACTAGCCAGCCTTTGGTGCCTGCGAGGATGGAACTGCACTGGTGCACAGCAAGGCCATGGGAAACAGCCCCCCGCACAGCCCCTTCAGTCTGCACCAACGAGGATCCCAGGAAAACACTGTGGGCTGCTAATGTCCTGCACTAAAACATCATCCTGCCCCACATGGCAGCTCTCAGCAAGCTTTCAGGAAAGCACCAGTGAAACGAACAGTGATCAGCTACTGCCACTGGTTGCAGGCGCTCCTGCCTCCACTCCAGCAGCCCGGCAATGCTGAAGCACAAGGGCAGCTAAGCAAGGCCCTTCCTAACCGGCCTTCCTCATCCGCCTTAACCTCCTCTGGAGAAGACATGCACTAGTCCTGGGACCAGCACCTTCCTACCTGCCTGATGTCCGTTACTATCCAGAAAACAGGCTGCCTGAGCTCGCTGGGCTCAACTTTCCCAGTGAAAGTTGCCTTGGACTGTCCAGGGGATGCAGCTAGACTTTCTGCAAAGAAACCTCTGTTCACCCCATACCATGAGCACTTGCTGGCCTCTTCAGCTTGGGGCTGTCTAATTTGCTGATACCTGCTGGGGAACGTGGATGTCAGGACAAGGCCAGCACTTAAATGAACTGTGCTTCTGAACCTGTGCCTGGCAGCCCAGGCTCCCAGTGGATGGGCTAGCTGGTGAGTCCTGCAGCGGCTGCAGCGCTCCTGAGCCTGAGATTCCTCTAGGCAGACTCAGCACTCAGCTTTTTAGCCACATGGGAAACTTTTCCAGCAGAATATATGCCCAGAAGCTTTCAAAATACCAGAGCTTGGCAGGGCATGAGCAGGGATTTCGTTTCTCATTCAGGCACCTGCTGGTATCAAACTCCTCCAGGAATTTCACCCCACGCCTCAGCCCATCAAATGGAGATCCATCAGGAAGGTGTTAAAAAATAAGCCGACCTCAACTGCTTTCTGGAGAATTAAAGTACCTCCCACGCTTGTTTTACATCACATTGATGAGGTCTTCCCCTCTAGCAGCTCCCCGCATTGTAGTCGCTACCTACAGTCTACTTAAATACACTTGACCTTCCTGTCCTTCCATGTTTCAGTGCTTGTTCACACTGGCAGGCTAACGGGTACAGGGAATCGTCGTCACACTAGCTAGCAGGTTCCAGCCGTGGGCACACAAGGCATGTGACACGCAGGCTGCCGGAGCAGAGCTGGGGCCCAGCCACCCTGCTGGCCACTTACCGCAGTTCTTGAGGGAGAGCAGGGGGTGGTCAGTGGGAAGTGGCTCCGGCGTTGTGACGTCCAGGCCCGCCGCTGCAATCTGGCCATGGGCCAGTGCGTCGTACAGGTCCTCCTGGTTCACCACGGTCCCCCTGGCATACACAGAGGGAGAGGCCCACGCTGCTGCTGAAGGGTCCCGTGGGCTCTGAGGGGTGTGCGGCAACAGCACAGGCCATGTGGAACAGCCTGGGCAATGGCACCTGGGTCCCCAGGGATGCCTGAGTGGAAGTCAGACCCTCTCTGGAAGTGCCTGAACCTCCCAGTGCAACGAGCTACTCCTGCTCCTGCTCCAGGCTGCCCACTAGTGGGGAGAAGAGCCGCGTGCCCAAGTGCAAGATGACCCTGGGCAGCCATGGAGGGAGGCGGAGGCAGCCCGAGGCGTTCCAGGCGGCTGGGCAGACGTTGCGTCTTGGGGCACATGGGTTCTGCCCTGTCACCATGCTCTGCAAGAAGGCAGCAGAAACGGGAGGCTACGGCCGGACTCAGCCAAGGAGCCCTGTCGCAGCCGCCTCCGTCCCAAAAGCAAGGTTTCTGGCAGTTGCAGCCCTCTCCTGGGCAATCCCTCAGCCTCACCCTCCCGTCATCCAACAGTCACCATTCGTCCACCCCACCGGGTGGGACATGGGGCCCTCGTGAGGAGACAGAGGCTGTAGCCCCCTGAATAACTTATCCTGCCTTTGGCTTGATGCCAAGAGGCCTTGGGCTGGAGGGAGCGGGCCACACACTGGGCAAACGGTCCCAGTGGCTGCCGTAGACTGTACATGCCGTCTGGACTCCCAGTGGAAGCCTACCAGATCCCCCCTGCAACCACAGCTGTCGGCAGGGTGACAGTCACCCCCCGTGCAGGAGACTGGGTTGCAATTACCTGCTTGTGTTGACAAACACAGAGGTCTTCTTCATTCTGCCGAAGAAGTCCTTGTTGCACATTCCCTGGGTGGCCGGAGTCAAAGCACATGTCACCACAATGAAGTCCGACTCTTCGGCCAGCCTCGTGAGTGGGACTGGGTGGAGAAACACAGGTCACACCTCTGCTCGGGGACCTCATCAACACACCTCAGCAATCCTTTTATCCGTAAGATTTGCCAGCAAACGAGTGCTGCTCTGGAGAGACCTGGCTGACCCTTCTCCACAGACAGGGAGACACAAGGACCATCAAACACCCAACAGAAACCATGAACATTACTACAGATACTAATGCAGTGTTTTGTTTCACTTCTGAATTAAAATCAAGCCAAAGGGGAATCTAGCGATGCTTCAGCCACCTGGCCCAAAGGAGGCTCTGGTATGTACTTCATGTTTAGACAGCAAAATATAGCAGCAGCAGTTTATACTAGCATTAAATCTCTCTATACGGTACCTACAGATAACGACTTGTGCCACTTTCACTCCTGGAGGTGAGAAGAAAGTGCAAGGAGCAGGACAAGTTCTGCCAATGACTGTGCAAAAAAGTACCAGCTGGAAATGTGCTGGCTTCAGAGTGAAAAATTAGCACTTGATGCAAGTCTCGGGACTCTTAACAGGGCCACAGAAAAGTCCCGTTCAGCAGCTGAGACATTCCCAGGATTGGCTGGACGGTGACATTTATTTTAAAGCAGGAGGTTAATGCTGATGTTTGTTTCCAGCAACCAACATCTAATTTCAGTGATGATCTGTGGTGAGCCTCACACTATCTCCTCCTCCCTGCAGGACATCTTGGTACCCATTCCATGGGGAATGGTCCACAAGAACCTTCCCCTCCTCCCAGGAGCAGCCGCCACTTTCCCTTCCCTCTTATGTTCCATTTCCTTGTGGGAATGAAACTAACTGGAAATCACAAACAGATGGACACAGGGGGAAGATGAAAGGCAAAAGCAGCAGCAACAGCCACAGTCCACAATTATGGTGGGCGGTCAGTTAGAGCCCAGGTGTCTCCAGCCTTCTGGCTGGCATCAGCTGGCTCAAAGGAGGCAGGTTTCCCTCCCTGCCATCCACCACCGCTGGGATTCGCCTTTCCGTCCTTTGCTGCCCTCACAGCAGTTCATGCCAGCTACACCGAGAAGCTGCCCAGAACCTCCAGCTCGCACCCTCCCTCCTGCTGGCCCACCCCCACAGGGTGACACGTCCCCAGAGCCATCCTAGCCATAGTGCTCCATGCTGCCCTGCAATGGAGGACCAACCACCGCCCCTGCTCCTGGCTCCCTTCTTACCAAACTCAGCTTCAAACTCTGCAGCACACGCTGGTTTCGGGCGACTGCTAGTGTACAAAAACTTCTTGACTCCAAATGGCTTTAGGCGGCGGGCAACCGCCTGTCCTAGGAGCAAGAAAAAAGACTGTCCAGCTGCTGTGCCAGGGCCTGCACGAGGTGTGCTGCACAGAGACTGACGCTGGGCCGCAGGGGTCCATCAGCCCTCTCCAGGTGGTCCGTCCTTCGGCAAGCTTGCATTTGGTGCAGCTGACAGCGCAGCAGCCAGCAGAGCACATAGCTTGCTAAAGGGTTGCTGTGGTAGGACTGCTCCTGCCAGGCTGCTTCCAAGCCTGGAGTGTGGCGGACGTGGGGTGGATGTCTTCTGCTGCTCCTCACACAAGCAGGAGCGAACTCCCCGCCAGAGTGAAACTGCGGAAGGGGAGCTGCAGGACGTTAAACCTGAAGCTACCCTAGGGAGCAAACTGGAAAGTGAGGAAAGAAATAGCTATCTGCTAACAAAGTCCACAACTGAACGGATGACAAGCACATCATCTTGGACTTTGTCAGGGCATTTGTTTAACTGAAAATCGAGAGGACGACATCCAGTTTGCTGTAGCATTCAGATGCATGTAAACCTTGAATGCTTTAAATTTTTAAGGTTCAGGCTTGATGAGTCAAGATCGGTGTTCAGAGAGGCTCTATATAGCTCTCCTTTTTGTTCTCATAGATTTTAAAGAGGTGAGCACCAGGGACACCACCGTGGCTGAACCTCCAAAACCGTCCTGCCATCACTGGAGACACACAAATCCTGTGCCTGGCCTGCACTTACCTATTCTCCCCAGACCTATGATGCCCACCGTACTATCAGACAGACCATAGCCACACATCCATAAGGGCTTCCATGTTGTCCAGCCACCACTAGCAGAGAGAGCAAGATAGAAACAGATGTCAGACAGCAGCAGGGGTGAGCCTGCTCATAGCCCAGTCCAGCATTTGGGCAAGTATGCCAGAGAGTACAATGCTGTGGGTGGCCAGCCCCTTTGGCACAGACAGATGATCTTACAAACAGCCTCTCTGAGGTTCCTGCTTCAAGTGACCTTGGTGGTCTCCTGCAGGAATCTGCTTGGACCTCAGGTGCACAGCAGCAGCAGCAGCAGCAGCAGCAGACGAGTGTCTCTGAGCAAGTGTCAGAGTGTCTTGGCAACAGTACAAGATGTCTGCAACTTTCCTTCACTTATGCAGAAAACACGTCATGTAGGCAGTGCAGTGGTGCGTGAACACAGCAGTGTAGGCTTGGTTTTGAAATACTTGCATGGAGAGCAAAGGCTTGCTTGGCTGGTGTAGGGAGTCCAGATACAGGTGGATACTGCTGAAGAGAAGAAAGGCAAATCCAATGCCACGGAAAAGCAAGACAGAAGGTGTAAGCAGCTAGGGACAGCCCTGGTACGGCACTGACGTGTGGGAAGTCAAACGCACAGCAGCAGCAGCAGCAGCAGCAGCAGACGAGTGTCTCTGAGCAAGTGTCAGAGTGTCTTGGCAACAGTACAAGATGTCTGCAACTTTCCTTCACTTATGCAGAAAACACGTCATGTAGGCAGTGCAGTGGTGCGTGAACACAGCAGTGTAGGCTTGGTTTTGAAATACTTGCATGGAGAGCAAAGGCTTGCTTGGCTGGTGTAGGGAGACTGAAAATTTTGTGACACAGGCTGTGGCATTTCTCTCTCTGGCCATTAATTGGTTGTTACAAATCTGCAGTGCAGTCATGTTCCCCCCACCCCCTCCCACCACCCCTTTCCTCTCCTTCAAACTATTTATTCCAATAGTAATATTAGTTTTAAGTGGTATAGAACATGAATTAGTTCCTTTGGTAACCAAGTCGGTTACACACCCACACAAAGTTAGAATCTGCTAGGTGCAGACATTTTCCGTTTTAGAAAACCTGTGGGTTTTGAAAACCACAGCAGTAGGGCAGCAGTGTATGTTCTCAGGGAATCATTCCAGAAAAAGTTCCATATACCATATGCAGATTTATATCTAAGTCCTGATCTTTTGTTTATATACACATATGGAATTTGAATATATTACCCATATATTGATTTCTCCAGTGACTTCAGGATTATATACTTCTTTCTCATCCCAGTATTTCATCCTTCCCACTCTCCCCCTCACTCCTCCCCATTTGTAGAGAATAGGTGGCTACGAAAGAGCACGCAGTAGGAATACAGCACAGGTGAATAAGCTTGCAAATACATACTGCATTCCTTCTTACTTTATTTGGTGTAAGTAAAAATTTGTACTGTTCCTTAATCTGCCCCCTGAAATTATAGAGGTGAACTGCAGTGGCTTTTGTAGATAGCTTCTTTTTAGGGATTTAAATATAAAAGTGGCCTTTGTGTTCTTGGTAGTTTTTTGAAAGCAAATAGCTACATGCAGGATTAAAATCAATTTGTGAATATGAATTGTAACAATTAATATGACTAATAATCCCTGTCATATTGTCTTGATCACGATCAGTAGTTTAGTCTATAGCAGCAGCAGAAGCTTGGAGACTTTTATCGCGCTTTCTCTAGTGACACTTCAAATCCCCACAAAATTAAAACTTGTGAATTTTTAAACATACTTCCCTTGTTCCTGTATGTGAGGCAGGGCAGCACTAGTACCTGAGAACTGAAAGGTAGCCATAAACAGAGGCTGAGCCTGACAAGGCCATTTCATCGTTCTTGTCTGAATGAAGTGTGAAAAAGGAAACAAACAATAAATAGGGAAGAGTGCATTAGGAGGTTTTACTTTCTTTCCTTTCCTGTTCTGAATCATCAGTCATAAAACAGAACAGTAGGTATGTTTTTAGTTAAATATGTTTTTTATGCTAATGTGATGCCTTTTAACTGCAGTTCTTCCAGAGTGGGAAAAGCCTGACACAAATACAGCGAGCACCTGAAAGTACTCCTATGCAGTACTTGTTATTTTGTAACACCCTTTCTTGCGCTACAACAAAGCACGTAACATGCTGTGCAATTCTGCACTAGAAAGCTGGAAAGGTTGTTTCCTAGTTTACAGAAGCCTGATGAAGATTGAGCTGGGTGATGTCCAGTAAGCACTTTTACAGTACTGCATAGTTAAAATGTAATCCATTATAAATAAAAGGTAATGAAAACATTAGCAGGAAAAAAAGCCTGACTTGAAGGAAACAGACACGTATTGCTATCCTCCTCTGGGTCACTTATGTCATCTTATGGCCACATCACTTTCTTAAGCCTGCAGGGAACATTTCCCTCTGGGCTTCTGCACATTCTGCTGTCTCCTCCTGGTGCCAGACACAGTCCTTTCTGCAGCATCTTTCTCAGGCGCTTCCTGTCTCTCATTGCCATAGAGACAGCGTGTGCCTGTTAGAGACACTGCAGAGGTGTGCTCACTCGACCCCAGGCATGGCTGGAGAAGGCAGACCATGAGCAGACCTGTAGCCTTAAGGTGCTGCGGAGAGGATTTTGTGGCCAGGTCCTGATCTGCGGAGCTGTTTCAGTACAGAAGGGCAACAGGCTCCAGAAATCTCAGCAGGTGAAATGAGCTCATGGGGTGCAGCCAAAAGGCTTAAGGAACCCATTCCCAATGCCCTGAGTTATCTGAACCATGGTCTAATGCTATTTCTGTTAAAGATGATGCACAGCATAATTTCATATGCTCAATAATAACCAAAATGCTGCGTAGAGCAGGAAGGCTGCGCTTATAATATAAGAGCTAAGCAAGGACTCAAGTCAGCCTTGATTCCGCCCTCTGGCCCAGTGTTTCTATATGGTCCTGACCAAATTGTCTTCCTCAGTTTCTTCTCTTCAGAATGTGGGTATTATATTTTTTTGCCCTTTGTAGGGTAAGTGGGAGCCTATGGCCATCATCCAACCTAATCTCCATGCACATACACCCTGTCCAGTCACTTCCACATTTGCTCCAGAACAGGTCTATTGCAGCACCTGAGCAATTCATCAAGCTTGAGCACTTTTGGTGCCTTGCCATGGGCATCCATTTTGGAGAGGCAGGCTCCAGGCAAGGTGCCTCAAAGCAAGGTCCATCACCAGGTATCCTAAGTCCTGCTTGTAGTAAGTAATGTTGGCACTTTGGGTCTAAACTGCAGTTGGAGTAACAGGAGTGTGGGTGCAAAATACATAGTGACAGTGTTTACTGGGTGTAAGCCTATGCTTACTCCCAAACTTGAAGTAGCACCGCTATTTTAATAGGAGTGCATATGGTTACTCTTATGGTGAGCAGCAGCTATAGGGCAGAACGTTGTTTCTGCTGAGCTGGTGCATGACGTCTCCCATGCTTGCAGGTAAGAGTGAATCATTCCCCCTCTTCCCCCAGCTGGTCACTGCACTGGGGGAACTGGGGCAGCACACTGCATCAGGGACAGACCCAGAACACGTGGCATGTCTATGTGCAGGCACCTGGTGCAAAGACCCTTGGTCCTGTGCTGGCCAAGTCGTGTCCCCGGATGGTAAGACAAGGTTAACAAACATGCACTCAGGCTAATAAAGCTTTACTCTCAGTGGGGCTAATTAGCTTCTATTTAGCAGCTCTGCAGCTAAGTCACTGGTCACAATCCCATGCAGAGCTGCTCTGCTTTCCTTGTCTGCTTGGGAGAGTCTTCTACTCGTGCAGCGGTGATAAAGCCACAAGGACAAGGGTTCAGCTGCCAGTAAAGAGTGGAGGTACAAAGGTGGTATCCATCATTACTGTTGTTTCTGTAATGATAGCTAAAAATAGCAAAGGCCATCATTTACAGATGCAATTTCATATTGATGTTCTAACACTTTCAGCCCAGGTTAGCCCCATTTTCCTGCTCTTTCTTCTTTTCTGTATCTCTTCACGAAACACGTCTTAGTCCACAGCAGCCCTTAAAAATGTGTAAGAATCTGTTAGCATGTGGGCTGCAGTAAGCACTACTGTTATCGACTGTGAAGAGGAACCAGCTTGTAAGAAAACTCAGTGTTAGCTGTACAAAGAAGCTCAAGAGAACCTGTGCCTACAAGGTGAATGAGTATGCAAACTGCCGAGGGATGCCTGGGGAAAGAATAAGTTGCCCAAAAAAGAACGTGATGGGGGACAGTCCCCCAGTTTTTATGCCCCCAGCCTTCCGTTTGAATTAGCAACTGAAACTCATCATACGGCCCTCATTTAGAAAAGCTCCAGTGTGAGCATTTATTACTTTGGGGTTTGTGTGTACGTGCTTACGTTTGCTTATTGACTCAAGCCACAGCTGTTGTCCCCACCTGGAATGGAAGGGATGGAGGACGTGGCTCAGCTGCCCGCAGTGTGTGGAAATCCTTCTGTGCACCAGGTCCAGGCTTGGGTTTCCTCGTATTTGGAGCCTCTCAGTGTTTAGGTTGCCAGACAACACCAGCTCTGAAGTAAAAGTGCCCAATGCCGCAAAGGCCTTACAAGAGCTTTACATTGCTTTCGTCAAAACTTGGATTAAGCTCATAATAATGGCCTTCGTGTGCTGCAAATACATTAACACATTTCTCTGAGAGAGAGCCTGCTTCCATTACGCTGGTTCCTGTGGCACACAGGAATTATTGCCTACCAGAGAAGTGTTAAGTGAAATGTTGCCAGGGGATTATCACCTCCCTTTCCTGCACGGTTTTGCTAAACTGAGCAGAAGAGGAGCTCCCACCGCGCTGCTTAGGAAGCCTTGAGGTGGAACCCTGGTTTGTGCTTTGTTTTTGAGTTTTTTTTTGATAAGGAGGGAAGAAACATTGTTTTGCTGTATGTTTTTCTGGTACGAAGACCTGGCCTTCCATAGCTCATTTCCAACACTTATAGTTGCCTTTGTGGAAAACATGGCATGGCCCAAGAAGATTCACCTAATGTGAGGCTCTCCTTCTCACCATTTCCCCACATGCTCCAAACATGTCTCCGATGGGGTT